TTCATTTCCTATTTTACTAATAGAAGATGGTATATTAATTAGTGTCAATGATTTACATTCACCAAAACAACAATTTCCTATTTTACTAATTGATGATGGTATATTAATTGTTTTTAATGATGAACATTTACAAAAACAGTTATTTCTTATTTCAGTAATTGTTGATGGTATAGTAATAGATGTCAATAATTTACATCCTTCAAAACACCAACATCCTATTTCATTAATTGATGTTGGTATATTAATTGTTTTTAATGATGTACATTCACCAAAACAATTATTTCCTAATTTGGTAATTGGTGTTGGTATAGTAATAGATGACAATTCATCACAATTTTTAAAACACCAATCTCTAAGTGATTTAACTTCTGGAGGTATTATATTTCCATATATATCTCTATCATATTGTGTATATTTTATATTTTTACATATATTTCCTGCTTCTTTCTCTTTTAAATATCTTGAATAATCTACTGTATACCATATTACTTCTTTAGCTATTCTTCCATCATCAAATTCTTCATCTTCTTCATTATAAATATGAAATGTTTCAATATTAGGAAAGAATCTTCTTGAATATTTATTTAATGGAATTGGATTAAAATGAAATCGTTCCATATTTCCTCTATATCTTTTAATTCCAATTTCTAAATTAATAAAATCTTTAATATCATTAAAATATTTTGATACTATCATCATTGCATAATGTCCTATTCTTCTTTTTCCATTTATTCTTTTATTGATTTTATTATTGTATATTATTCTTTTGATATTTATTATCATTTCTCTTTCTGTTGAATATTCTGAATATTCTTCTTTTTCTATCATTTCTATTATTGTTTTAATATATGTTTCTTCTGAAATTTCTTTATATCTCCATCTTTTTGTGTTTATTTTGATTTCTTCTTTATTTCCTTTTTTAATTTTATTATTTATTATTATCCCTTTCTCTTCTTTTTCTTCTGTTGTTATTCTATTGATTTCTTTATTTTCTTCTATTATATTGTTTGTTCTTATATTATTTATTATTCTTATTTTTATCTTGTCTCTTTCTTTTTTAATATTTCCATATGTTATTTCTGTATTTTCTATGATAAGAATTGGTGTTTCTATGTTATATTCTTCTGAAAGTATTCTTTCAATTATATGATATTTCCGTATGATTTGTACATTGTTTAATCTTCCCAGTTTTGTTGAATTTTCTATTCTTCTTTCATTTCCTTGACTTGTTCCATTAGGAATACAAATGATTGTTCTTTCATTTTCTCCTTTCTTTTCTACTTCTTTCTTAATATTATTGAATATCATTGTTAATTTACTTTCTGGTTTAATCATCATTTCTACTCCTTTAATATTTTCTTTTCTAATTTTCACATTCGTCTTATCATTTCCAATGATTTCTTCAATTATTTTCTTTTCTTCTTCTTTTAAATATTTCATTCTATCAATTCTTTCATATTCATTTCCATCATACAAATACACATCCATGTCATCATATTCAATATCAATTATCATTGTTACCATTCTAGGTTTCATCTTTTATTTATTTTTAAGATGGTAACGAAAAAAAAAATTAAAACTAATAAATTAAGTAACAGTAGATCTTGTTTTATCGGGAACCAAAATAAGCAAAGAAATAATGAATCTAAATAAAAAACACCCCCCCCAAAAAAAAGGGCAAAATATTTTGAATCAATAAAATAATAGTTTTTATTATTTTGTTCCTAAAAAAATAAAAAATAAAAAAGTAAATTAAATATACATTCCATATTCAATTATGTTTGTTTATGGTAAATTGTTATGAAATATAAATGTTTCAGAAATGATATTTGATTCAATGTATGTATATATTTTTATTATTATGTTATTATTATTTTATTTATGTATTTTATTTTTATATA